TTTTTTTTATATTGATGTTAACATATTTTTTTTGTCTATTTTATTTTGTATTAAATAACCTAAATAATCATTTGGAACATTTGCGACATTTCATTCCTAATCAAAATTTCAAATTAATCATTAATTTAGACATTATAAATTAAGCATAAATTAAACATTATAAACTAAATATCGTATTTTAAATTAAAAATGAAATATTAAATATCTCAAAGTAAACATTTTAAATTAAACGCTTTAAATTAAATAATTCAAATTAAACACTGTTAATAAAATATTCTAAATCAAAGACTCTAAATTACATATTTTAAATTAAATACAATATAATTGAATATATCACTGTAATAAAAAGTGCAGAAGAATTAAGTGAGGTACGTATTTTATTTTTTATTCGAATTTTATTTTCTTTAATTAAGATACCTTTTTAAATTATATTAATATCGTTTTAAATTAATCAGATTACTTACTTGTTCTCTTGGTAGTTGCAATATCCATTTTTTTAGTTTTATTTTAAATATATTATTTTTAAAATTTTTTAATTTGTTTGGAATATGAGGATATATATGTCTTGCCGTAAAATAAAATGATCTTTGACCTATGGTCTTTTGTGCTTTTGCGGTTTGCGTTATTTGATTTTGTTTATACCGAGTGTCGTGATCATGATTTATTTTTTCTAACATATGCTTTTTCTTATGTTGTAGGGTCAATATTTTAAACATGTATATTTGATTAATATCCATAAGATAACTTTCTTTATATAGAAGGTTAGTATCATATCGTTTAGGTTTCTTTAGAATAATTTTTATAAACATTTTTTGGATAGTTTCTAATTTTTTAATTTGATTTTTATATACCCCTCCCCATCCTGCTATTCCGTATTGTAGTAATGAGTGAACTAATGAGAAATAAATTGTTTTCAAATGATCAGATTTTAAAATTGATCGAAGTCTTCTAAATTTATACACTATGTATCTGATTTTTTTAATTAATGATGATATATGTACATCCCATTTTAAAAACCTGTCAATTTCGATTCCCAGGTATCTACAACTATTTGTCTCATGTATTTCTAATGTATTATGATTTTGATTTAAAGTTAGCTTTTTGAAATTTGGTATTTTTTTTTTGTTACATGAAAAGGGTATATAATTTGTTTTTTCGAAATTAATTGTTAAGGACATTAAGTCAAACCAATTTTTTATATTGACTAGATCTTTCTCGGCTTTTTCTTTTACCAGTTTCCAAGATTTATCCGAATATTGTATAACGGTATCATCAGCAAAAGACGATATGGTACCATTACTTCTTATTTCTAAAAGACCATTAATATATATGGAGAATAGAATGGGCCCCAGTACTGTTCCTTGTGGAACACCATATGTTACAATGCATGGATCACTTAGCTTATCTTCAATTTTAACGTATTGAACTCTGTTAGCTAGGTAAGATTTTAGTATATTTGCTATTACTCCTCTGAAACCAAGGTCCTCTAGTACATCGATCAATATTTTATGATCAACGGTATCGAAGGCCTTTGCTAAGTCTAAAAATACACATAAGGTTGGTGTACTTTCATCAAGTTTTTTATAAATGTTATTAGTTAAAAATGTTATAGCATTTTCTGTTGACATACCTTGCTTAAAACCAAATTGTCGTTCCGATATATATGATTTTTTTCCAGGAAGGTCACTATTTTCAATTTTATAATTTTCTCCACAACTTTAGTAATATTTGTTATTAATGATACTGGTCTATAATTGGAAGTATTTCTTTTATCGCCCTTTTTGAATAAAAAGTGATGTTTCAACCTCCCACTCTTACTTACGTAAATGACAAAGAGAGGTTGCCCTAAAGCACAGTAAACAAATTCGAAGCTTGGCTTTGTTCAGCTGTTATGTTCATGTTCAGCTTTGTTTTTTGTTTGTCTTGTGACTGTTGCAGGCCCGCGCCTACATAAGGACAAAGACGTGTGGTGCACGAGGGCGCCGAGGCGCCAAAAAGCCTCAAAACTCAAAAGTAAAAAAAAAGATAAAGCATCAAACAACTTTGTCAAAACAAAATTTATAATGATAAAAAAAAAACAGCAAGGAATTGCTAGTTATTACATTGTTTTTTATTTGTTTATTATTTTATTTTTACTCTTTGAGACGAGGGAACCGAATTTCTCGAAAATAATATATTTTCCAAATGAGAGTACGCAATAATAGCATTTATTCGATTAAATACGTAACATGATAACAAATTGTGTAAACTCAAACAAATCTGATTTTATTCATGTTTGAGCTTGAAATTTGGCTTGCAATGAGCCAACGAGCGGGCACGTTTTTTTCCCGTCTGAACTTGCAATGTACGAAACTTTATATACACTTCCCCAGTAAATTGATGCACCATCAAATAATAACAAAAAGTTTAAAGTACATGTTTGTCAAAACCACTTGTTTCTTTTGAATGATAGGTTGACTTTTCTAGAACATCGGTGTGCTTACTGTGTTTGCATAAAAAACCCCTTTTTTATTAATAGAGGGTGTAGCAATTATAGCGTGATTTTTTCCTAAAAGTTGTAATACCCTGTAGAGTGCAACAGTTACATTATCAAGTTCGCATTCATATGACAATTTAGCCTTATCTTCTCCTAACAATATCTTTTTTTTACTCCATTATGTTTCCTATTACACGAGAAACTCAATTTTATAACTTTATACATTTTCATTAGCATTATAAGTACTAAAGTAAGTAGCATGCTATGGAAAAACCAGTAATTGTCAAATACAGATGCGTATTGTCAGTATTAGTCCATACGCCATTTTTTTGCAAAAATTTGTTAAATAATATACCACGAAATCTTACTCGCTTTAATATTGTTTGAAGAGGGTTGGAATTACCGAAGAATTGGTGAAAGATTTGACGTAACTCACACAAACGTTTCACGAGTTGTACAAAGATATAGAGAGAGACAAGAAATCATGGTCGTAGGCCGGGACAAGGAAGAAACCGAGTAACTACTCCGATTCAGCATTGATTTTTAAGACTGAGTATTAAGACATTTTGTAACAGCTCGGACCCTTTAAACGCAGCTTCGGGATGCTAATGGTTTATAAGTTTGTACAGAAACTGTCAGCGACTAAGGGAACATAATTTAAGGCCTAGAATAGCTGTTCGAGGTCCAGCTCTAAGTAGAGTTCATCGCAGAACAAAGCTAAATTTTGCCAGGGAGCATCGTAACTGGTTAGAGGCTGAATGGCAACAGGTATTATTTACTGATTTTGTCTGTATAACAATGACAGGCGTATGCGTGTATATCGACGCCCTAATGAACGGTATGCTCAGTGTAATTTCTCACATACAACATTATTTGGAGGAGGATCTGTGATGGTCTGGGAAGGCATTTCTTTGACTGGTCGCACAGAACTTCCAGTGTAGAAGTCTTACAGCTGACAGGTACATATTGGAGACTTTAGAAGAACATGTAGTGCCATATATAGAGTAAGGGTTTCTGTTGATGCAAGATAATGCTAGGCCTCATGTTGCTCAAGTTGTGAGAAATTAGAGGAAGTCGGTATCGCTACCATGGCATGGCCAGCTCGGAGCCCTGATTTAAATTTGATAGAAAATCTCTGGGATACTATTAGGAGGAGATTACAAGAGGAACGTAATCTGAACTCTTTGGAAGATATACGGCAGAGACTGATTCAAATATAAGAAGAATTGGACCAAAATGACATAAGGTCTCTTATTTTAAGTATGGGCCACCGTTGGCAAGAAGTTATTCGAGCCAGAGGCGGAAATACTCGCTACTGATACTTTCGTCTAACTAATTTCGTTATATTTTGTTTCGTGTTTTCGTTGTTAAATTTTGATATTAAAAATTAATATCATGTTGTTATAAAATAGTGTATCTCGTATAATGATAAAGATAATGGACTAAAAAAAAAAATTGTTAAGAGAAGATTAGGCTAAATTGTCATATCAATGCAAACTTGATAATGTAACTGTTGCACTCTACAGGGTGTTATAATTTTTAGGAAAAAATCACGCTATAATTGCTACACCCTGTATTAATAAAAAAGGGGGTTTATGCAAACAGAGTTAGCTCACCGATGTTCTGGAAACGACAACCTGTCATTAAAAAAAAATCGTCCAAATCAGACAAGTGGGACCCCGAAACATAAAGATCCGTCGAAAATTCGAGGTCAAAAAAATGTTGATTATACTTTCGTTACTCTGTAGGTACAGGAGAGTAAAAATTTTCAAGTTGATGTATTCGACGACCGTAACAGGTCAACCTGTTAATATCTGTCTAATGATTTTTTTTCCACAAACTCGATAGTCGGATTTTATTATTTATATTTAACGCATTTAAATCTTTTGTAATCGAGAAGCAAAAAAAGCACAATGCATGTCCATGTCCTACAAAAAGTAATCTTGAAAAAGTTAGTCATATTTCCCATTTATAACTAATATGGTCAAACTACTTTTTCATAGAGGTAATAACAACTTATGCGAGTTTAACAATTAGAGGCTATTTCTATCGGTTAACGATATAAAAAAACTTTGTAATTATGTTCAATTTAAACTGGATGTTATTCAGAAAACAAATTTAAATCAAAAACGAATTTTTTTATGGAAATAAAAAAAATTCAATTTAAAATAAAAAAAATAACAATTATTTATTATGTAGGGTGTTTTAATGATAAACAGAACAATATGTTAACCTTGAATAGTAGTCGCTAAGCTGGTTCTAACCTTAACCCTTGGACATATTTTAAAATGTAAAACTCAGTCTCTTGGTGCATAATATACTATTTAAGAAACGAACTGTCAAAAGGTGGCAATAATGACCTGAATAAAATTACGACAATAATAATTAATCTGTTAAATTTTTCTGTAATCTCTCGAAAATAAATAAAATACATTCAGCCAGTTCTGCCCTGTTCGCATTATTTTGTCACTAATCGATTAAAAAATCGATACCCTACCATTTATTTAATTTTAATCTGACTTACCGGTTTTGTGCCTTACATAACCAATGAAGGGATCTGAAACAATAAAAAAGTTCAGTGCACTTTCAGTAGGTAAGCAACAGTTATTAATATTATTATAAATGGACCAACATCCTGTTTAAAAACACACGCGATGCATAAAACAATGCTGGTCCCAAAAAAGGAAACATTAAGGAAGTCGAAATACATTGTTAAATTGGTTAGTTATTCGGAGAACTTATACCGCGAGAAAGGATGACCAGAATTAGAATTCTATCAGTTGGCAGTGGGCGGAATTATTGGTCTTTTATGGTATAAACATTACCGGAAGATAAATCGTTGTATATGCTTATCAATGTCTTAAAGATATTCCATAAAATTGCTAGCGATATTGAATTATCTTTAAGTGCTAAATAATATGTCATCTTGATATCTTAAATGCAATCTGGTTTTTGTAAAACAAATATTACTTAAGCTTTTCATCTATTAATTTCTTCATAAGGAATTGATGAACAAATTAAAAGTTACCACTGTAAAACATGTTTTGATTGTCCAACTCAAATTATCCGAATGTCTTACTAAAATTGTTCGATTGTTTTCTACTTTTAACTCGATATTTCTGTTACCTACCTTACTTCTATAATAAATACTCAAAATTTTAGACAGAGGCAGATTTTTTTCAGAATGAATATCGTTTTGGCGGTTCTTCTATTTTACAATACAAAATTTTGTCTTACTCTTACAGAACGTTCATTTATATACTCTACCTTTGGGGAAATCCATAAGCTTTCGGTAAATCTCCTAATTCGATTGTTATTCTATACAAAAGGATCGCTGTGCTGTTAGGAAATTATATGTACACGAAATGCTTTAATAACTTAAGTCTCAAAAGTTTTAGGAAAAAAGTAATGGTAAAAAATTTGATGAGACTTTTAATTTATTTTGTTTTTTTACAACATGACTAAATAACTACCTTAATTGTTATTTCTAACAAATATTCACATGACGGATAATTGTCCATTCTCTTCTATTGCACGTAATATGGTCCTTACATGTGTCATCAGTCTTTGGACGGTAGCAATGTCGACTTCCTGGATTTTCTGGTATATTCTGCGCCTTAGTTGTTCCTCATTTTGGGCTTCTCAACCGCAATCGTACACTTCTCTGCTCACTATAGACCAAAAATCTTCAATGGGTCTCGCCTGAGGCACAGTTGGAGGGTTGTCGACCTTGGTAACAAAATTGATGCCATTTGCAGCTAACTAGTTTGTTGTTCTTCTGGCGTAGTGAGACGACGCTAAATCAGGCCAGAATATTATTTGGTCGTTGCGATGATGAGTATCAATAAAATTCCGTAGCTTTGTAAGATATTTACCGATTTAAATGTCAGCATTGATGGCTTCATCACGAACACGTCCAACATATGGCTGTGAAACACCATTATTCGATATGGCGCACCACACCAAGATTTTGTCCTCAAACTTATGTTTGCTTATGAATTTCACACTATCTGGAGCATTCTATACAGTATCTATATAGAACCCATCATTACCTTTGATCTCAGAATTGGATAATGTGAAACATTTTTAATCGTCAATAACAATAACTTTACCAGGAAAATGAACACGTCTCAAAGCACGGCAACATCTCGGAATTATTTTCAACTGATTGTCGCTATATTTTGGTGCCTTCCTTTGTTTTCGATACTGAATACCATTTCTGGAGAATGTTCTATAAACAGTTGCTTTTGAAACATAAAATCTTCAACCTAACTTTCGACTGATATTCCAGTCTTATTATTTGCTGTTTCATTTAATATTCGTTCATTTGCTCGACTCAAAACTTTGGGGCGTCCACTATTTGGTAATTTATGTAAAGTATACCCACACATACAGAACACACTACACGATATTAAATTCCTTGGTCCTCTACAATAGTCGGACTTGGCTTTGATTGTCCAGCAGCTGAATATCTTCTGCATTACCTATATAATTGAAGTATGTCTTCATGCTTGTCAGTAAACTTTTTGATTTATTCTTTATTCTTTCACTGTTGTTCACTGTTGTAAATCCAAGGTCTCAATGAAGATCTGAATTGAGCACATACCAAGAAGCGTTCACTATGTTGCGTAATACTTTGTTCTGATAGGTATGGTTAGACTTAATGTTGTTATCTCTGTCACATCCCTATAATTGAATGCCATGAAGCCACACCGGTCTTATTACCTGGTTGTAGATTCTATTTTATAATGTACTGACAGTTTTAAGTTTCTGCCCAAGAGCCAGTAGTGCTGTTTATATTTGAATCCTAATTCAATTACTTTCTTTTTAACATGTACTTTCCTATGTAACTTGGTATTAAGGGACATGCTAAGGTACTTTGCATTTAGCTCTTAAGGTACGATATTTAGAGATGCAGGTCTTGCTATATTTTTTATTAGTGAAGTTCACATAAATATATTTCAGTTCAATGAGCCTAATTCTCCAATGTTTGGAGTTTGGAGTTTTGTTACTGATCTTTCTTGGCCATGATCAGTTGCAAGGAGAGCAGAATCATCAGAGAATGTCATACAGTCATAAGTCCCTAGTGTAAAGTATAAGATAGGTACAAAAGCTCTTCCTTGAAGCACTGCAGATGTCTTTTAAATTAGTAAATTCGTCTTCCTGCTTAATTTTGAAAAGACTCTGAGATATATGCTGTTATAATTTATTCACGAGCATTTTTGAGTAATTTCTTTGATGTTATTGTAAGCAGCTGTTTGAACAATTTTGGTAAAGTTTTCAGCTTCCTCATAAAGTTGTTCAGTTTATACATTTAGATTAATCTTGTTTTAAAGTTAAATTCTGAAGCTTTCCCAGTCCATAGTTTTGTTGGTAAGAGTAAGTGGTTTTTTTAATAACATATTCACTCAAGGTTAGAATGATTATGGCTAAATCAAAATTTTCTTCAATTTCAATAAAGTTAGGAGAAACTTTTCTTAAAATAAAGAAATCTTTATTGGGATCCGTGGACCAGTAAGTAGGTTTAGATTCCTGTAGAATGACATTTGCCATTCTTTTGACGGATAGCTTTTCTTAATTCACTACGTTTTTTCGAAATAAGTCTGGATCCTCAGTCAACATGTTTAGCATTAAGGTTCCCTGACTATAAACCTTTCTCCAGGAAGTTGCAGAAGGATTAGATAGGCTTCTTTTTTAAGATTGTGCCTGGATAGACAGCAAATTGTATCAAATTATAATTTATGTTTTGTAAAATTAATGCATTCTCCAAAATGATATTTAACCTCTGAATGAATGGTATGGTATATTTTATAACAACTTAACAATAGAAAATGCATTTTATAATGCTTTACTTTTACCTTTTGTATAAAATAAAAAATATTAAAATATTTGTAAAATATAATATAACAACACAGTTTAATAACATTAACCAATACATTTCTCAGAATCCTAGAAACCCATTACAAAAAAAAAACTAAAAAGTGAAGCTATTTATTGTGAGATAAAGGGATGAGAATGAATGTTAATGATAAAAAAATTGGTTGGATAGTTTTGTACCACACCGGAAACAGATTGTAATAAACGACTTAATTTTTATGGGTGTTGATGATAGTTGTTTATTTTATCAATCAGTCAGAACTGTAATTGGTTTTTTTATTGGAGTATTAAATACATTTTTTATGTTTTCCTTACTTATATGGTACATTAAAAGTATAAAAACAAAATTAGACTTTGAATGGACTATGAAAAGCATAGCCGGGCATGTAAATAATTAACTATTACTTCGTTTTAAAATATTTTAAATTCATTTTTTTTTTCATATAATCAGACAATTCATTCGAGTTGTTTAGTATATTTTTTCTACGACTCAAATTTTAAAAATATCTTAGAAGTTATTTTAGATAAAATAGTTATTTTAAAAATAATTTATGACTTTTACTAATTTATAAAATAAAATAAACTGAAAAAAAAAAGAGATTATAATTCAATTTCACTTCTGAATTTGAACCCCAGACCTTTCGCATGGTAAGTTAGTACTCTGCGTTAATGATGTAATTAAGTTAAATTCATTATTTATTTTTTTATACCTACTGAAAATTGGTTTAATCAAATTGTCACTCATTTTATGTGTCATTACTTTTTTTTTTCCTGGGCTCGTCTGACTATGTGTCTCCGAATAACACTGAAGCCTATTGGCTTATTGTGTTTTACCCCATGTTAGTTCATAGCACCCACTCTATCACCTTGTGTCATTACTTAAATGTATATGAATATATTCGTTTAGTAGAATGTAATGACCTACTTTATCGTTTTGTAGTCTGTGCGTAGAATAGAAAATATCAATGTGAGTGTAAAAAGACTATATTTCCATCACTAGTGAGAGAAAATACTATATCATTAACTTTTACTTCTAGTTATGCACGTACTTCACTTTTATTGAATTACAAATAAAATATAAAAATAGTATAAAATTTAAAACAACCCATATCTAGTTGTCTGGCGTCAGATGTTTATTTCAAGTTGTAACGTTCATTTGCTAAGAACTGTCAATGTCAGTTTATGAATATTGAAATATTAGTTCTTCTTTTGTTGCTTCTAATAAAAATAAAGCATTTTTACATTTGTTGTTTACTGTAGTATGGTATTGTATAATGCAGTAAAAAAGTATAGTGATTTGCTTATCAAACATATTTTTTAGGCTTGCGAATATTAACAACCTCAGCTTCGTCTCGGTTGATAAATTCTTCTTTCGCTTCAAAAATTTTTCTATTTTCCGGTACTTCAAGCACCAGACAATATTTTTCTTACTTGTAAATGTAAAATTGCTGAATTAAAAAAACGGTTTTACATATCAACATTCCTCCTTGGCGCCACCACTGTCGCGTCACATTAATTTTACCACATTTTATGGATACGACCGATAGTTTCCGACCGTGAAAACTTTAATTTCAAATAAACGCGCCCACATTAACTTCTAAAATGGCGAACAGCCGTCAATTGCCTCATTTTTCAACAGACAACTGTTTTTTTTTTTAGTATCAGGTGCGTATCAAGCAA